CCATAGCAGAAGTGGCATCAGGGCTTGTGGGTTTCCATTCTCTAAAATCAAAATAACTAGAGTACTCTTTCAAAATGAGTTAAAATGGCATCATATTGCAATACATTAAGTGCAGCTACTGTGTTAACATCTGGGTCGTGGTATCTGCACCTTGATGCCAGAGCCAGGGAGAATGAACTTTACTCTATGGGACTAACTCGAAATGCCAACGGTGAAGTTAGTGCACTATCAGTTAGCAAAAATCACCCCTTTGTTCTAAATGGAGGGACTTTGTCAAGTTACTGAAATGCAAACATTGAGGCTGGTGGTATATTTTGATAGAATGTGCTTTAATTTTTTTTTTTTTTTTTTGCTTAAGACATAAATACAGGTCTTTAGCATATGCTTTGACTCTAAACGAGTCTTTTTGAACTTTAGAACTCTGAACAACTAAACCCAGATGCTATTTATGCTTGCAAATGTCTTTTTTCCTTACATTATGAACTAAGAAAAAGATGAGAGAAGAAAAAAAAAACCTTACTATCTGATGATACTCCATGTCTATCCATCTTAACTTTTTCCCCCAATACGGACATTTCTCTCTTGCAGAGCAAGTGTGTGAAGATCAGTCCTTCTCAAAAAAAAAAAAAATTGGCTTGCCTTTGTAACTTGAGTTCCCCTAGTTAATGTGAACAAATGGATAAAGTCTAGTGAAGTCAGAACACTTTGGTAGTTGTACAGGCTGTGGATTTCTTAACAAGGTACTGCTAACCTCTTGCATCCTATGAACATGAGAATTTCCAATTTGGATAACGTTGCAGAGACTTTCCGCTGCACTTACTGCAACACTGAAGTAGAGGAAGATGCCTCAGCACTTCCTAAGCGCGACGCTCGAACCTTGCTAGCAAAATTCAATGAGCAGATTGAACCTATCTTTGTGCTATTGCGTGAGACTGAAGATATTGTTCTGCCATATGACTTGCTGGAGCCTCAGCCAACAGAAATACCAGAATTATCAGAAAGGTATAAACATAACCCTAGATCAACACAACCCCCCCCGACAACTTCCCAGTTGTAAAAAATTTTTAAATTACTGAACTTGCAGCCTACTTTCTACTCCATTCTGCTTTGGTACTGTCAGCTGCTTAATGAAGAAGCCTGTAATATCTAAGGCATTCTACGTTATTGTTATGCATTTATAGTTTTATTTTTGCTACCTTTTTTCTTTTAAGAAGTAATTAATTTGCTAGACTTCTCCTTCAGCTAATGTTCATAGCCATTTCTGTGAGAAAGTAATGTTTCTCTGTCAGTGTGCTCCATCCAGGGATGCACTGCTGAAGAGACCATGCAAAAATCAATGGTTCAAAATCACTTGCCTCTGAGATGAGGTAAGGGGGAGTGCAAATTGTTTTAATGTAGAGCACTTGTTAAAGCTAGTCTGCTGACAAAACATGCTTTTTTTGTCTTTTTTTGAGTGGGAACTGGGGCGTTCTTGCTTGAATTTAACCTGTCCAAAATGGGTGACATTTCATTCAGCTTTGATCAGAAGGTGGGTTCAAGTGTGCTGGAATCCTGCAGCCGACCTGAAAAATGGGCCAACAGAAGTTCCTCTTTCGGCAATATGTACACCCAAAACTTAGTTATTGATGTCCAAGACTCTGAGCCCAAGAAGAAAACAAGAGAAAAAGCAACTAAAGAGCAACCTATCTGGATGTCACAGAGCACCGTGGAAGGAGCAACAACAGCCACCAACAATAGCATTGGTAAGTTTTAAACATTGGTAAATACTTAAATTCAGCAGCCTTACTGCATTTAAAGATAGCTTTCCTATTGAAAATGTAGTGAGCTTGGCTTAAAATATAGATTAATGCTTCAATTCTGCACCAGTATCTATCAGATCTTAGTTTCTAAAAACTAGTCTTTAGACTGCCTTAGGTAGTGTTCCTAAAGCCAGAGGTCAGGTACCAGGTCCGAAATTTTTGGCTGTAACCGTGCAGTAACGGTAGTGGTAATCTTTAAAGTGGAAAGCTCCTGGAAATGCCTGCACTTTCAAGAGAATTCTAAAGTTTGGGCAAAAAAGATCCAGAGTAGAAACAATCATTTATGTAGGATGCCTGTGGTAACTGTAAACTATTGATAACTCTAACACTTACTATTGTGTATTAGGAGTAAATGCTTCTGAAGAAACTGAAGAAAGTGTTAAAGGAACTGTCACTGATAATGAAATCATCAAGACTCTTCTGATCCATGAACCCAAGTCATTGTCTAGCACAGACCAGGCTCCTGTTATCAAAGGCAAACTACCTGAAGCAGGCAGCGATACTAGCGAGTCTGAAGAAGATGCCACACACTCAAGAAGAGCAGGAATTAAAGTAGTGGGCAGCAACTTTGAACAAGAGGAGGAACAGGAAACACAAGGTCCTATTTTAATGGTAGCTGGTCAGCCTCGTTCATACAGAGAAGTTAGTGAAAATCCAGAGCTTGTGTCTCTCATGACAAATGAAGAGAGAGAAGCTTATATAAAAGTAGGACAAGAAATGTTCCAGTCTGTCTTTGAATAAATACTACTGTATGAATATAGAATGAGTGAAGGCTTCTTTTGAAATAAGAGAGTTTATTAGTTTAACTTGTTATTCAAAGTCACTAAGTTTTCTTTGAACTGCTTGCTGTTATGCAAGATAGTAGTCTAGTAGTAGGTAACTACAGTTCAAAATACTAGCATTGCAGCACAAGCAACCCAAAGTTACTCTGTGTTTTCTATTGTCCTAATGGTTGGACTTTGTGAATGCTGTGATTAGTTTTGGAGCATGAATGACTTCAAGTTACAGTGGGATATAATGACCTGAGTAAAATAAAGTTTCAAAAGCAATGTTGCAATCTCTTGTAAGAAATCAACTATTCCACCTTCCTCCCAGAAGTAGCAGATATTTCCAGTAGTGAAATTAAGTCAAACTCTAATGTGATTTGGTTTCACTCTATACCACTGCATTCTGCTGTTTTCTTAGGTCATTCACTACACAACAGTAACAGACAAGTCTTGTACAGCAACCTCCCTCTAAGGGAAGAGCTGTTATATATTGTTAGTGACAGAGAAGAACCAGCTATGACCTCTTAACTTTGTACTCAGTGCTCTACACAACTGTCTCTGAAGTGAAGTGTGCAATGGATAATGGACAGTAAAATGTAACATTCATTTTGGTCCAGACTGGTAAGGAAGCAAGCAATGTGTCAAGCAGAAGACTCTGCTTCTCACATCTCATTCACGTGCTCTCCTGTAATAATTTTAAGCAAGATCTTCTCTACTACTATTGAAAAACAGTGTACTTGAACTGAACTATGTATGAGTAGAAGGACTAGCATCAGAATATAAGATATGGCCATTCTACTGCTTGAGCAATGGATAATGAAAGTGGACTGCAAGGGCACAAACTGAAACACAGGAGGTTCCCTCTCAATGTTAGGAAACACTTTTTTACTGTGAGGGTGACTAAGCGCTGGCACAGGTTATCCAGACAGGTTGTAGAGTCCCCCATGTTGGAAATTATCAAAATCTGCCTAGGCAACCAGCTCTGCATGGTCCTGCTTGAGCAGGGGGTTTGGACAAGATGACCTCCAGCAGTCCCTTCCAACCTCAACCATTCTGTGATTCTCTGAAGAAAGGGTAGAGAGAAAGTATGACCAAAGAAATACCATTTCAATGCATTGTTCATACACACCATTCCAGGGCAAGAATTCAGGAATGGTGTGTGCTCATGCTATTTCTTGAGCTTCGAGTTCAGTGATTTACCATATAAACTAATTTGTCTCAAATATGCACAAATCTTCTTGTTCCACTTTACGAAAATGTCCTCTTTTAGGTCTATTGAATGATTCTTGTGTCAAGTTAGTGATTAAAAGCTTTCATTTTGTTTCATTTTCACAGGTTTGCCTCTGTGACAATGTATTTCCTCTGTCCTCTGTCCTCAAAATTGTAAAGTTTTTTCTGCATGCAGTTATCACCATGAGGTTACAGCCTGCACAGTAACTTTTAATATACTTTTGCCTTTACAATCATACCTCTCATCTCCAATCTGCCATTTCAAAATTCACTCATAAAACCTGGAGACTCAAAACAAACTAAAAAAAAAAAGAAATCACAGTAGGATCACACTCATTTTATTCAAACTTCAGGCATAGTTAAGGCTTCACTGTCACTAGACTGTCTCCCACAGCATATAGTCATATTATTACACTAACCCCAAACAGAAGGCAGTCCTGAATTTAAGATGACCATTGCTTTGTCTTTAAGGTAAGCAGGACCTCTATAATACAGCAGATATGCCAAATAAGCTTTTCTAGCTCAATTTTATGACTTACTGTTATTAGTAACTCTGATCTGAAAAAGTGAAGAAAATTTTTGTTCTGGTTCAAGTTTTTGAATCTACTTCTCTACAATCCTAATTCTGCCTTTGCCATGAGACTTCATTAGATGCTGACTTTAACTTTTTTTTTTAAACATTAATTTCCTAAATTTCTTCCTTTCTACATGAAAATTCTTCACAAAGTCAAATACTTTAGGAACAGATTCTACAGGCTTTCAACTGCAGCAATTTTAAGTGTTACACATGAAAGAATACTAAAATTTTCAGACAGGTTTATCCCTTTGCACATTGAAAGTGCAAAACAGAAAATGCACAAAATTAGAGATGGTTTCTGCAGTTAACTACTTCACCTTAGATAAATGTGCTGATAGAAACTAGTTAAACAGGCCATGAACATGAACTTTTTTTTTTTCCACAGACCAGCTATACATAGCTATAAAGGCAACATGTAGGTATGTGCTGTGCCTACACCTCATATTTGTAGAAGATGGAGGAACTTAGTGGGACAAGAGTCTCTTGTCCCAGGCAAGTTAGCAGTGCTTCTCTGAAGAGGAGTAACAAACTGCTACAAGCATGGCTACACTTAAAGTCCATTAACTTCCAACACCACCACTCTGCATACCATTTTGTAAGCCAGAGGAAAATTTTTCAAAAGACAACTTTACAGACAATTCCAAACTTTATTTAAAACTACAATTTTGAAATTACTAAACAAGTCACAATAAAAAATAATAAAAGATTAAGACAAAAGAAGAACAGTGCAGCAAAACTGAATAGAAGAGGATTCAGTTGCAGCTGTTCAAACTGCCACAGGCAGAAGTTAGCATACCTATCCTAAGAGGCAGTGTGTCAAAAATTTTACATTTTTATACATTTTTGGAGTTCTGGGAAATTAGTGCTGATCTTCCATATGCATTTGTATACGTGGAGTTTATAAATGCAGATATCTTCAAGGTTATTCTCATGCACTTTGAGCTCCAAAAGTTTCTGTAAAATAAGAGTATACTCGTTATTGTCTAGCAGCTACAAGGCATCAAACACAGCTCTTGACCACATTTCAACTCCTTGTAAGCATCTGTTAAAGCACCTTGATGAAATATTTCATCCTCACCTTTTTTTCCACAAGCATTTTGAGCCATGGCTTACTTGAACAGCTACAGCCACCCCCCATATGCAGATGAAGAATGGCTTAGTTGCTAGTTTTGTGTGGCATGGCATTCTTAGCCACTGTTCCCATACCAGGCATATGCATCAGAATTCACCAGACTGACACGACAGACTTCTGCTAGCATAGCTGTGACAAGCAGAATGATGATGGGCAGTGAATGAAATGGAAGGAAAGATGCACCTTTCTTCACACTCTATTCTGGAAAATCCTATGCTGTCACTACAGCTGCATTAAAAAAAAGCATTTTCATCCGCTTATACTGTTCGAGGAATTGGAACTAGCTACACTAGCAGAAAACAACTACCATCAGAATACTCAGAGTTCATGCATTTATATTCGCCATTACTATACCCTCCACTGGAGGACTACAAGCTTAACAACAGAACAGAAGCCTCTAATACCATAACTTGTGTCACAATATCGACCTTATATTAAAAAAAGAAAAGTTTCTTTGACCTGCATTACCATTAAGTTTCTGTAGCTGCATAAATACTGTTTCATGAAAGTGACAAATCTTTATTGCTGTCATACACACTGAAAGTTTTTCTACCTCATGGTATGCTTCATCTGAAAAATAGTTTTCTTTTCCCTGAAGAGATATTTTAGTATTCTGAAAAGTCTCTTGAACTTTTCTATTACAAAAACAGAGCAGTTTGTCAGCAAATTATATTGAGCATTATTAAATCAGGTAATAGCTATTGGAATTTACAGTATTACTAAACCTAAGCTTGTGTAACAAGGAACAAAAATACTGTTCCATTTTAGTAACTTTCAAACCATTAAGTTATATCATGCATTTTACATATGTTAATTTTTATGACTTTATTAGCCACATAATCTAACAGAAGTATATAGAAGGGACATGGAAGGCAAAATGCCTTCATATCAATACATCATTTTCAAATGCATGATAACAAAAGAGGCTATTCTTTCAGCACCACGATAACTGCTTACTTCAATCAGTGATAACAAGATATTTAAATTCTAGGCCATACCAGAGTGTTTTCCCAATAGGTGTAGAGGATTTAGAAAATAATCTTTACCAGGTTCTTTCAAAGTTTGGGCATCTCCTACTAATTCTTTATCTTGAGCTCCACCTCCATCCAGTAATTCATCAGACAAACTGTTGGTTTGGGCCTCCGTTGCCATTTTCTTCATTAAATCTGCCTTTGTAACAGATAAAGTAAAACTCAAAATTCTGGATAATTCTTATTGCTGTCTGGATAATTAAGACATTTAGGGTGTGCACTTCTAAACCACAACCCCACAAACAATAGCAAAATACCTCTGAATATACTGCCAGTTTAAGGGGCAAGTCTTCAACTTTCACAAAGTCATCTTCATCAGATTTTTGACTTACATTTCCAGAACCAGCTTCCTGTTAATAAAAATAGTGACATTTAAGAGAATAGTGCTACTTTATTTTCACTCCAAAACTAGATTTTTGACTAGTATAATAAAGTACATTAAAAAAAATAGCCATATCAAATTTGCAGATGAAAACTGAACAAGACTGGAAACTAGAAATAACACTGAAATAGAAGAAAGCTTCTCATTTCTCTTGGATTTATCTTAGCTGAAATATACTCACATATTCATTCACTAACACAGGTGACTCCGTATCAGGGCTGCCAGCCATGGAGCTTTCAGAACTTGCGGATTTGTTTCCTACACACGTTGTATCTAGTGTTTGAGTTTCATTTACTGGTAAAGATGAGCTTGATTCTTCTGTTTTCATACTGGCTGTTATAAAGGATTCCGGGGTATTGACTGTTAAAGGTGGTGTATCCTCCATGACATTCAGGTAATGAGGCAAAATTGTAGCCACATCTTGTTCACCTAAAACCACAAAACTAGATTTTAACTAGGTAGAGATAGTAAAAGATTCTGAGATTACAAAAAACCCAGATTATTATTATTATTTACAAATTTTGATCCAAAGCTACAAATGAGCAATGAAAGTGGATTATAGTCTCTCAGATCAACACAAAGCTGACTGAAATAAAACATCATTATTTGTGATGTGTATCAGCATCCCATACACTTAAGTATCAGCAATTATCACAAGACAGTACATGACTTGAAAATTTCTGACGTTATACAGCTTTTTTCTTAAAAAAAAAAAACCAAAACTTCTAGAACCATATGACGTATTGTAAAATATTCATTCTAGGTGTAAGGAGATATAATACAGAACAATAAATTCCTTAACATTTTGCCACATTCTTGTGGCAACACAGGATCTACTCAAATACTGGTTTCAGTCTACAAAAAAAGACCAAGGACAAAACCAGTATTTGCAACAGAAAAACACAGGGAAAGAAGGTGGTAACAACAGTTAGATTAGAAGTTACAATCATACCACCCAGTAGTGTTTCTGTCTTTTGACAGAAAATGATTTCTCAGTTCTTAATCAGTTACCACACAGCATTATTCACAGAAATAAATTTTTAAAATATAAAGAGATTTCAATTGCTAGCAAATGGTAGTAGCAGAAAAAGCAAGTACTAGACAAATCTAAACATCAATATACTTTAACAGACAAATTAACTCTGCTACAGCTGTGTGCCAAGGGCTGCAACAATCAACTGAAATTCATGCTATTGTCAAGCATCAAAACCACATCTACCTAGGTAAGCTTGTTCCAGGTTTCATCTTTAAAGGGTTTTTTGTGTCTATATCAACACAGAGATATCTAGTCAGCTGATGTGATTCCATTAAAAAACCAGCCCAGTAAACTGTTGCAAATTCGATCATCTTCCTCTTAATTACATATATCACAGGCACTGTCCGCGTAATTCTCACAGTATGCAAATTCACATAGAAGCATTAATCTCTCAGTTACTGCATATGGGGCTTACCTTTAACATTAACAGATTCTTGTTCCGATGACAAAATCTCACTGCTTTTTGTCTTACTCAGTTCTTGGTTTGAAGTCTATTGGCAAAGGTGAAAACGAGTTAGAACAAATTCTACTCCTCAGCTTCATAGCTTATTGGCTAATTTACTCTTCCTTGCTAACTAGAAACACACTGTACACTTGCTCCATGTTTTTGTCTTTTCACTAGTTTGAAATAAAGACAGCAAGTTTTACTCTCTATTCATCAGCTAGTCAACAACACTTTAAGAAACTATTAACACCGATATGTATGTTTTATCTGAACATTTCATTTTCTTTTCACTATAGTAGTTCCCAGGTAAACATTTTTGGTTCCACTGAAAAGATCTATTGTTTTAGCCTTTAAAGTAAAATGTTCCATTTACATCCTTGCCTAATGTTAATAGCTGTTGAGTAAACCAAAGTTTCAAAAGATTCAGAAGTCAATCTTATTTACTGAAATGTAAGTAACCGACAAGTCTCCAGAACCAGGTCACACACATCCAAATGTTTTTAAGGAAACTAACAGTGAAATGACAATACCAGCCAATAACATTTCACTGTTGTTCCAGAAAAAAATTATTACACAATAAAGAGGAAAAACACGTCAAAGACATGCTAGAATACAAGAGTCAATGGCTTCTGCAAAAGAAAATCCAATTAGAACTTGATGTCAGCTAACACAGAGGAAGAACCAGTTAATGTGTAAAACATGATGCTTTTTTTTAAAGTTTATCTTTTCTACTGCAGCTTAACATTTTCTCTCTCTGATAGCACATTTAAACATTAGTTTTGTCTGTGTCTGTCCATCCATTTTGGCATCAGCTATACCAACAATAAATTCAGGTGGGGAATGCTACATTTTGTATGTAGCAGCTATTGCTTTCATTTAATTCCTTGTATCATTCTTCTACTTCCATCAGTATGAAAACAGTGCAACAAGAAAAACTGAGGTACATACAAACACATACTGAAAACCTGTGCACTGTTTTAGGTTTGTTCTGCATTTACAACTTTGGTAATACCTGTTCATTTTCAGTTGTTGTTTCACTGCTGGCTTGTAGTGATGTCTGCACATCAACAGGTCCTTCCTCAAATTCTATTTCTTCATCTTCATTCTCATCTTCTCCACTGCCATAGTTAGTCAGAGCTTGGGTTTCTGCTTTTGATAAACCTGAAGGCAAATCAATATAAAACCACCTTCATACTGGATTTAGATATTGACAGAACCTGACAGAGTAAAAGCAAGGCTGCAAAATCCAAATCCCTTTTGGGAAAATCATACTGCAATGATCAGTAAGAGTTATAACATTCTTTGAAATTAAGATACAGTGATGACTTAACTTTCAAAGATCCATATGCTCTACATAAGCTATATTACGAACAAACACCACTGCGTTGGTGTGAAATATCTAAGTTATTAAACAAGCTGGTATGAAGAACGTAAATATAAGGGAAACCAAGCCATGAGTAGTTAGTGTACGACGTCAAACAGGGCAAAAAAAATTATTAAAAAATAAGCAAGCTTAAGTAGAAGCATATTAAAAAAAAAAAATCATCATTTAAATAAAAAACTGCATAAAATTTCAGCAGCTTTCATATCATTCAGGTTACAGGTTGAGAAACTTCACGTTTAGCGGAGACAGGATAGGCAACTTAAAACAATGAATCTGATTGTAATGTGTTTTTACAGATCTACTGCTTACAAAGAGAAAAAGTTCCTCTAATTGAATGTTTAACCTTTGACACAATACTAGCAAATACAGTACTGGAAAACTTTCACTGGAAAAGACCAGACTAGGAAATCTGTGAGAGAAGGTGTTAGACAGCAGTACTTCATGCAAATCCTGTTGTAAAATTAGTTGGTCAAAACTACAGTGAAAGCATTGAATAATGAGCTATATAAAAATCACTTACTTATTGCCACTGGACCGCTTTCACTTTCCTCATCTTCCTCTTGATCAGATGCATCAGACCTAATACTTTCAGGAACTCCACTACCATCATACATTTCTGAGTCCTGTACTTGTTTAACAGTTTCAGTCTCATCCTTATCCTAGGAAAACAAGGAATACTGTGCAATTTCATGTTTGTTTATCTAAAGATTAAGTTATGGTTTCTGCATCAAGGAGTCACCTTTGTTTCTCAAAAATAAAAAATCTACAGACTAAAAATTAATGTTTAAGTAGTCCTTAAGGCCTTGAAATGAATACTGCAAAGCTACTCCTGAAACAGAGCATCAGAACTGACTAGAAGAGATCATGCACTGTTCAGAGACAGCTATCAAGGACATTGTAACTGAGCATTTCATTATCTGAAAAGGTTCACACTGATCAGCATGCTAGCTTAAAAAAAATTTCTTTAAATTAGATTTGTCATTCTCAAGAGGAAGAAAGACACACCTGCATTATTACCTTCTAGCGACTTTCCTGCTTCTCCTAAATGATCTCTAGTAAAAATTAGAAATATTCCTAACTGCAGCTTCTCATTTCTTCAGCAATAGTTACTCAGCAGTTTCTCTGCTGAATGATTTGCTAAATACCTTGAGTGAGAAAATTTGGCTCAGTCTGTATGAACCCTAAGTAAAGCCCTGAGTTTGGCTCCAAATCTTGAAAGGACTCTTCTACACTACAGCAACCATAAGTGACATACAGCTTCCCACTTTTACTTCCAAAGCAGCATGACAGAAGCTCTAAGCCCTAGAAGAAAGCACTGACTTTATGCCCATAAATGCCTACACATATGCTTATGCCCATTTAGGAAAGCATTCAACATTCTACTTAGTACATTACCTATATCTTTCCCTTGCTTGGAAAAAGCTGAACATTCCAAGAGAAAATACAAAACTTCATATACAACCCCTCTCCCCAAACACAATGATTTTAGTGGTTTTCAAAACAAACTTAAAGGGAAAAGGAAGAAATTTTGGCCGCTAATGTTTAATACTCAGACTTTGACTGAGGACCTCAAATACCATGTGCCCCAACTCAGAACATATGCCTTCTCCTTAAGATGAAAAGTAAACCAACTTATTCCATACCATTAAAAAAGAAAATGTTAATTGCTAAAAATAGTTAAGCACCATCCCTATTTACTGTCCTTGTTATTTAATTCTTCAACGAATTACTACATTCTCAATGCTTAGAGCTGAGAATACAGGCAACAGCCCCAGACCAAATCCCACAATAAACACCTTCAGAACAGGCCTTTTCTTTTTTCTTTAAAATACAGAATATGAATACTAAAAGGAAAAGCAAGATCCTACCCTAAAGCTGCTCAGCAAGTATCACAAATTATTCCATTTCAGTTGTGTAGCATTCAACATAAACTTTGCTCTTTTTAGACTTCCAAATTGTCAGTCCTAAAGCAAAGCTCATTTTACATAAAGGTCACCAATAAGTAGAAAAGCATCTTTAATACTATCTTTGTTGGTCTGAATGCACTTCTTGAAAGGTAACAAGAAAATGTTTTATAAGAAATGCATCAAACAGTCTTTATGCTCGTAATCGCTCTGCAGTAGAAACAGGAATAAATACAAGAGCAACCAAGGAACTGATATCCAAGTCATGTTTACTGAAAGCAGATAATAACCAAGACTTATTGATGAAAGCAGATTTTTTGGTAGTCATTTCCCAGACCATCAACTCAAAATAAAAAAGGGAAATTACAATTTACTTTGTTACTTTGATAAAGTAAATCACTGAAAATAACAGAAAGGAGATAAAACCCATGATGTTTAATAAATTTATAAACATTAGGAAATGGGCTGCTTACAGATACTGGATTTATATGACAGAAAACAGTAAGACTAAGTGATCTGTGAAATTATCTGAGGAATAAAGACAGTTGAGAAGCATAAACATACTTTGTCCTCATCGACATCTTCAGCAGATGAACAAACATCCAGCTGGAGACCTTTTTTTGCCTAGAAGAAACACAAACTGTCTTCAATTCTAAACTGAAATGAAATACTGAACCAAACTAGGACTTCACGAAAGCCTGACTGAAATGCCAATCTTACCAAGAATTGCTATCTCAAAATGGCAGTAAGCCACGGGGACTTCTATACTACAAGAGATGTTTACACAGATGTCTTCAAAATTTTAGAGTTGCAAAACATTACAAAAAACTGTGCTAGCCGTTTTTATTTAAGGGGTACATTATGTTTACATGGGCTAATTCTCCAGTCTGTGGTTGAATCATATTTAACATATAGAATTAGATAAACAAGCTCTGGTCAAGACAGAGCGCTGTGTTTTTCAGCGTGGAATCTAAAACCATTTAGCTTACTGGACTCAAGGCAGCCACAAAATCGAGCAACATCAGATGTGCCTGCATCAGGATCCCAGATCTGAAAGCTGTGACAGAACTATACAGAGATAATTGTGCGGGTCTGTACAAAGTAACCAGGACCTACTAGTTCTGGCTTATCTCTGGCTCTGTTGAATCTGAACTGCTGCCACAGCAACAAGGCAAACATTAACCTTAACCCTAATTCTGTCTTCCAGGAGAGGAGGAGAAATGCCAGATCTAAGTTGGCTCTATGCATTCTCATAGCAGTGTATATACCAATCCTTTATGTAACAAAGGCCCAATGAGCAACTTCAGACAAAATAGGAAGTCATGTCCAAATCCTTCCAGATTCAGAATGTTTCTTTGGCCTCTTTACATTAGAGAGAGTCATATTACTGGTATATGTAAGTTGAACTATCTTGAAACATAGCTGATGATATGCTTAAAACTACTTATAGGACTTTATAGTCTGTGACAGATTCACAAAATATCTTCCCTTGACATTTTAAAATAAGAATGAGTTAAGGGTTTGCTTTGGTATTTGTGTTTCTAAAAGAAAGCTGAAAGGACACTGAAGTCATAACTATACTATACAAGAAGAAACACTGAGGTAGATACTTGACCAATTTAAGTATATGAACATCATCTGGTTTAGTGTTTGTTTTGTAAACAGTTCATGTAACTAAAAAAAAAAAGCTACGTTCCTAAAAAGTGCAATAGTAAAATTAAAAATGGTGATGTAATGTCTTTAGTAATGTAAATGGTGTGAAAACCAAACAAAACTTGCTTTGTTAGAGCAGAATATGTACTACAGTCTCAAATATTTCTGAAATGTTTATATGTATTTCACACTCCAAATCTAGATGATACTTTCTACATATGCCAACAAGCCAACTTTTTGATGACTTCACAGGACTTATTCAAGTTAGGCAAAGATGGTGCCTAACTAAGCTACTGCAAACAAAGCTCTAGGCATAACTGGAGAGATGATGAACTGGGACCCCCATATAATCAAAATATTTAGATGGGATAGAGTTCAATTTCTTCACAGTAGCTAGTATGGGGCTATGTTTTGGATTTGTGCTGGAAACAGTGTTGATAACACAGGGATGTTTTCGTTATTGCTGAGCAGTGCTTGCACAGAGTCAAGGCCTTTCCTGCTCCTCACACCACCCCACCAGCGAGTAGGCTGGGGGTGCACAAGAAGTTGGGAGGGACACAGCTGGGACAGCTGACCCCAACTGACCAAAGGGATATGCCATACCATATGATGTCATGCTCAGCATATAACGCTGGGGGAAGAAGAAGGAAAGGGGGACGTTCAGAGTGATGGCGTTTTGTTTTCCCAAGTCACCATTACGTGTGATGGAGCCCTGCTTTCCTGGAGATGGCTGAACACCTGCCTGCCGATGGGAAGTAGTGAATGAATTCCTTGTTTTGCTTTGCTTGCACACACGGCTTTTGCTTTCCCTGTTAAATTTCTTTATCTCAACCCACAAGTTTTCTCACTTTTAGCCTTCTCACTCTCTCCCCCATCCCACCAGGGGGAGTGAGCAAGTGGCTGTGTGGTGCTTAGCTGCTGGCTGGGGTTAAACCACAACAACTACTCAATGGCCCCAGATGTTAATACTATTTCAACACTTGACTATTCCTTCCTATGTGCATATATAACCACTAAAACACATTTCCTCTGAATTACCAACAACAAAATCTACATTAGATATCTGCAACAGACACTCATCTGTAATACAGGACATCTCCCTTACCGAGGAAAGCTAGTTCATGCTTCTACACAAACAGTACTGTGACTACACAGCACTAACTTGTAAAAAACCAATATATACAATGCATGAACTAAGGTAATCAAAGTAGTTTAGGAAATGCAGATATTTAGGAAACTCAGAAAAGCTAAATTTTTCAAAAATATAGTAAAACAAACCTCTTTAGCATAAGACTGTATCACTTCAGTAGTTTCTATTTTTCTTTTACATCTCTGCTTTACAGAAATACTGTTGTTGTCCAAGTCTTGCATGAGTTTAAAAAAGGCTAATTCATTAAATAACACTTCAGAGATCTCCACAAGAAGATCCTCCCCACAATCTTTTAATTTTCTACCAGCAAATTTCGCCAGTGAATCCTGTGAAGAGAAATAATTCTTCAGTTTTTGAAACAGGCTTTCAAACTTCAAAGACTATGTATTTGTCATATTCCTAATAACTCAAAATTAGTTAGGTTTATAATAGCTTGTACTTTTTAAAAAATATGGTTTAGTGTCTTAAACAGATTTTAAATAGAATCTCCAGTTGCGTAACAGAGAACTTGTCAAGTTACTGATTTAAACTCTATGCTTGTAGAGAAAAAAAAAAAAAAAAGAAGAAAGAAAAGAGCAGCCCATTGATTTTCAGGAATTTACAGAAAATGTTCAGAAAGAGCATCACCAGAGCTCTCCTTCAAGACAGCCGCAGGCAGGAGATACACATTGCACTATCTGGCAGCGATGGAAACTAAGTTCTGTGCATGGTAAAGCTTTAATTTTAGGGAAGAAGATAATACCTCAATCCTGTATCAAAGCTGAAGGAGAACAGCAGCTATGCTATTGAAGTAAAATATATCTCAAAACAACACTGAAAAACTACTAACCTGAAGTATACTGCCAAGCTGCTTATGAAAGAACTTCACAAATTCTTTACTTTCATCATTTTGTTGTGTAAGAGTCAAGACCATACGTCTTACTGATGTCAGTAATTGAGAAGAGCATACTTCATCCATGTGCTCCTAAACAAGTATCACAGAATGAGTTTAGTAACCACGTTAAAAAAAAATTAGCCATCAACACAAATACTGAAATTCATTTCTAAAAAAATCACCTGTCCACTGAAGGAACAGCACTCCATGAACAGGTCCTAACCCATCTCACAAAACAAACTAACTGGAACACAGTTATAGCAGATACCATGCTTCATTAATGACTGATTGACAAAGCTTTATCTCACTTTTCCAATACATTAGTACATGCCATCTTTTAGCATTTGGACAAACTAAGAATCTTCATATATTGTGTACTCAAGTGTATTAAAGTGTATGTTAAGATATCTACTGTTGTAAGCTTCCTTAAAATTGCAAACAAAACAGAAGTCTTGAGGCACTGTGACTGTGGCATGTCAACAATATACACGGTTTTTAAAACTAGTATCAACCAAGTACCTTATTAAACAAACCTAAGCTTATACACTGGGCATACTATAAAAGGGAACAGGGAGATGACTTTAAGCATCTTACAACTCAGTCTTCTCTGCTCTTTAACTTTGCAAAGAATGAACTGTGACTATTTCTCCTTCTTTCAAGTAGCACATTTCTCTTCTGTATGCACAGAAGTTTACAAGCTCTCAACAACTTTAAAGATACTTGTAAACAGGAGAAAATAATGCTAAAAATCAAAAACTCACAGCTATTCTTCAAAAATATCTCAAGTTAATCGTATGTAACAGTTTTAATCAAAATTATCTCAGTTCTCTTTGCTGAAAGGCAGCAAATATTTCAGAAGTACATTCTCAAACATTTTTATTAGATTTGGTCAGCTCCAAAGAAAGAAATCTCTATTCTTCTTGATGTCAAGTCCACCAGCCCTATGCAATCTAAAAACCTTACCATTTCTTTGTCCTATTAAAAACTCCACAGAATCTTTCTGTTGGAGTATTTAATCCTTGCTTCATCCTCAGCAAGGTCTGCAACTTAACACATATTCATTGGTAGCTGTTGCTAAAATGCAAGTTATCCATTTTAAATAATGTTCTTCTATGCAATTATGCCGGTCCTTTTCCTATTCTCCTAATTCACACATTATTGAAAAGTTCTTACCTTCAGAAAAGGAATGACCTCCTTCATAATTGCTTTAATCTGCCGGTCAAGCTGCTGAGTATCTATACGAGGACATGGAACAGCAGAAACTTCACTTGACTGTGGCACAGGAAGACATTCACTAGTACTTGGACCTCGTTAAAAAAAACCAAACATTTAAGTCATTCAACGTTACTGTTGAAGAAAAACCAGTTTCAAAACCATGTATTTTCCTTTTTTTAAAATAAGTCATATTTACTAAAGTATGTAAAGATCCTTTGAAACTTTGCTAAGTTTTCAGTATAAATGAAGAAGAAAACAAGTCAGCCAATTAAATGATTCTTGATATTTAGAATAATTACTTTCTAAAACTAAGCAAAATGTATATATGTGCATACCTTCTAATTTAGCAGCAGAAGCACCCTGAAAATTACTAGAGCAGCCCTCAGAGTCAAGGGTACTTTCAGCTTCAATTTTCATACGCTCATATTCCCTCATCCTAGCCAAAGCTTGATCTAAGTGAATCACTGTGTTGCCTATATTTAGAATAAAAACACCTTTTAATCTAAATAAAAAGTTTTCAATTGATAGACAAATAAACAATGATAAAAATGAATTAAAAGCCACAAGTTTTGAAATCTACATACAACTACAGTTGAGTTATAATATTTTATATTAGAGTCACCATATTTATATTTATATTTATTAGAGTCACCAATATTTAGAGTCACCATCCCTGGAAGTATTTAAAAGACGTGTAGATGAGGCGCTTAGGGACATGGTTTAGTGGGCATGGTGGTGTTGGGTTGACGGTTGGACTTGATGATCTTAGAGGTCTTTTCCAACCTTAATGATTCTATGATTCTATGATTCTATTACACGCTTTGATCAACTCAAAGTGTTTCACAAGTGGCTAATTTCTCTAAGTGTTGTTTTACAAAACATGTGATTACACTCTAAAAATCAACACATAGTATACTATTTAACCATAGACAATTGCAGGCATTTTAGGAGAGAGGGAGTAACGCTTAAAACATTCTAAATCACATCATTCTTACCAAGGTCATCAGTGGCAAAGGGTTCAAAATTCGAAGATGTAGACATAGTACTCCCATTGTCTGCATCATTTTGTTCACAATCTTGACATGCTTCTGTAGAAAAGTTCTTGCCAAAAGTTTCCTAAAAAACACCAAACAACTGAATACAAAGCAGGAACGCACCATCCTCTTACAGATGTGTCAACAAGCCATCAATTCTTTTCAGCCACATGCTGTGGTATCAAGACTTGTCACCAGGCTGCCTGACTGGGGAACAACCTTACTTTCAGGATATAAATCCATCAGGTGATTCCACCATGTTTGTTTAAAATACTTCAACTATAAAACACATAAGAAGCTGTACGGAGGCTGAATCAGTGATTCCTTAAATACAAAAAAAGCAAAAATTTTTTGAGAATCTTGTGATCAGTACTTGCCCTGACCTTACTCACAAGAGGATTTTGGCTCTTTTTGCAGATCAGTTTTCGATTTATGCCCCTCTCCATGTTCTGTTCCTCCCTGAAACATCACTCATTTCCAGCACCAAGAATCCTACCATATTTAATCACTTTTGCATTAAGATTCTCTTGCATTTCTTTGTTTAGAAAAGTCTGTATAAGTTGATATTAATTTTAGAAAAATTAAATTGCTAGTATGAATATTTCAGTACACAAGCATGCATGTAAATTGAAAAGATAGGAAAAGTCGACAGTAAACTAGCTTCTGAACTTGAAAACTTACATCATCTGTAGAAGCAAGGCTTTCACTGGGAGTGAGTTCAGAATTCGATGCCATCCATGTTGCAGAATTCAGTGATTTTGTGCACTTCCCTTTTTCGTTGTTCTCAGATAAATGTCTGGTCACTATATCCTGGAAAAGATAATAAATCTATACTGTAAAAAAGGATCTAAGATTTGTTTGATTCATACACAAGATCAAAACATTTTGTGCATACCTGTAAAGCATATAGAGCCCTTTGCCTCAGGTAATCTGTATTTAGCAGCTGAAGCTCATGGAAAAGTTCAATAAGAAAGTGGGGACGAGACTCATTTTGAGAAATAAGAGTTGCCACTTCAGAATAAATTGTGTCTCGCAAAGCTTCAAACATAGAAAGATCACTACCAGTTTCTGTAGAAAAAAAGGAACTCGTTAAGTCCTTGACATGCATCCAGAAAGACAACTGCCAATTAGGTATGCAAAGTACAGGTACACAAATTATATCTCAATCATTGTAGGTTCCATTTTATACACCTGCTTTCTTAAAGCTTACTCATTTCCTGAAGGGCAACAAAGATTTAAACATTCTGAAATAAAACTTTATGCAATTCCTGATATATGAAATAAAATATAAAGCATTCATAAGAATAATTTTCTTTACAATTCTGAATAATACCTTTAGAAAGTATTCTTTAATAAACAGAATATTGCACACACCACAATGTTGCTTTCAGAATAGGTATTCAACACTGAAAATGGAGTTTTAAGATATTTCAAACGAGATAGCCAAAGGTCTCAAGTTTATATAATACAAGTAGTCCACACTTTTGCAACACAAGCAACAACATTAAGAAAGCTCTAGACTGAATTCAAGAAAGCCACTCCTTCCCACACCTCCCACACAAGCATAAATCCTACATTCTCATACACGTCTAATATAATTTCTGAGGCTCACATAAAACCTCTTACCCTTAAGCCCTATTACATACGTATGAGAAGACAATGTGTTCCCTACTAAGTCTCCCATTCCTTTGAAAATTAAGGATTATCCTTGCATCATAACAGTTAAATTATTACATACATATTTTGGCAAATGTTGAATGGAAAAAAAGTTAGATTTGGAAAACTCAGCTTAGTTTAACAGATGGATATTTGTTAGTATCCAAGTTAATGAAGTTATTAGCAATACAGCAAATGTTACTCTGCAATTTGATTATCTGCAAATAGTTTACCAGTATTTTTAAGCATAGAGGCAAGCTTTCTCAACTCTTAATAAGCCACCAGAAATCACTTCCCTCCCCCATTAATAAAATGTGACAGTAGCTTTTAAACATATTAAAAATGCCTACTGAAATCAGTTTTTTGTTGTACTATCTACCTGCGTATTTTCAGCTTGTAATTGTGACTAACCAAGAACATGATAAACACATTCTCCACAGTTATAATTCAAAGTAGTTTGTATCACTGCATTTCATGCAAGTTACAAGTAACTTCTCTTGCCTTGTTTATAGAGAAGGTGCTGCAACAGTACTGATTTTGAACATCTGCTAAACAGTCCGAGTTACAGGACCAAAGCTAAGGGGTATGGGGGGTGGGGGGTGGGGAAAGGACATTGTCGAAGCTAAGCAGTGAATGCATTACCTGGCGCTTCAATGCATGCATTTCTGTTAGACTGCTGCAGAATTCTCCTAGCATGCGCTGTAGAAAGTGGGGATAGACAGTGATAAACACAAAAATGCGCACCAGAAATAAAGACAGGGTCTATACAAAACAGCAGGAGGAAGACTGCTTAGTCATCCAAACCACATCAAAGCTGCTTATTGTGAGAACTTCACTGGTACAAGTTTATTACATATACCAATAAACAGCTCTTAGTGTGGACACAGCTACATTGGCAAAGCTGTACATTGTGCTACAATGACTAAAATTTCTGCATCTTTCAAACAAAACAAAAGGTACTGGCAGAACCTAAAAAGACACAGAAGAGAGTATTTTTATGATCTAGATGTAAGAAAAGCAGTGCAGATGGCAAAAATGTAAGGTTTTATGTGATAAGATTGAATTTGAATGGTATTGGATAGCGTTCCTTTAAGCATGACTAGAAAGAAAACATGTATGCAGTACAGGATGTAGTTTAAACGCTAAACAAAAGTTTCATCTGTTGTGCAGTTATTTTCCATAAACACACCAACAAATGGGTGAGGTTTTTGGTTGGCTAGGTTTGTTTGTTTTACAGTAAGAGGTTTGTTTCTAAATTACTTTAATCAAATACATAATCTACAGAAAACACCCAAAAGCAATCAATACCCAACTTTTTACACACTTTTATGTTTACAGCATCCTTAGAAATTAAAAAGCAAAATCCACATGCTAAAAATACAGTATTGTCATTTGTCATAACACACTGCTTTCAACTAGCAACTAAGTATGGAGGTCCTTCACTCAGAAGTTCACAAATTACTGACATTCAGAAAAGAATACCTGAAGACATTTCTGTAGATCTACTGTATTTAATTATTTTTTCCAATTGCTCCCGATTCCTTTTGCTAAACACCTTTGGATGAACAACTTCTTCAGAGTGTCTGCTTTTATTGCTCTTGCAGGGTTCACACACACTAGAAGCACTTGCACTTTCATAACCTTATGGGAGAGAATGAAAAGGAAGAAAAAAAAAAAGCTTACAAAACGTTTTATTACTTTTAAAAATTTGCTCGAGGGCAATCTCAAAGATGCAAAACACCAATGATGTTTCCTAGCCAAAAATTTTCCTCTGTACACTGAAGCCATACAGTAGCACTAAATCCTCAGTGACTGCAACAGTACTATACATGCTATACTGTCCCTCTCTTCTCATTCCGTATTTTACTGAAGCACATCTTTCAGCAAGTCATCCAGTTTGAACATGAAGACACGATGAAGAAGATTTTCCTGGTGGCTAATTCCAAATCTTAATGTATCTGCATCCATTATCCATTCAAATCATGATATCCAAGTCAGTTATGCTTTTTATTTACTGAAATACTAAAAAATCTTATGTAGTTACGCTATGTAAAATGAATTCATATTTCAATAACTTATTTTCATTATTATAGGTACCATTTATGGAGAATAAATTCTCTGGAATGTAATGATTATAATCCAAGTTGAGTTTGAGATGGTATCTAAGATTGCTTTACAACCTACCGGTATTTTTAATTCTGCCTTTCAGCTGAGAACTCTTCCTCTTATTCTTTGATTTGGGTGTTTTATCTTTTGATGCCAAGCTTGCTTGCGCTGACGCTTTTCTAGATTTAAATGTCTTTGTCACAGTAGTTGGGTCTACTGGATCAGGCATGCTACTAAAACTCTCCAAAGACTCTTCATCAGACTCTCTTCTCCTGCTCATATCAGACTGATTTTTAAGACCAGAAGCAATGTTTTGTACTGAAACTGCAAAACCTGCTTTCAGCTGAGACTGATCATCTTTTTTCATTTCCTGGCTATCATGAAGCCAAGTTGATTTTTTTTCCATTTCCTCTTCAGGTTGTCTATGACTCCTTCTGTCAGAAAGAAAGAAACAAACACCACAATGTATCATAACCTAGTCTCTCAGTCAGAAACAGGATGTATTACCAGGCAAATAACTTGCATTATGGATAAAGCTATCTGCCCTAGTTCCATAGTTATCAACTTAACATTGGGGGGAGGGGGGGGGGAAATCTAGTGAGAACCTTCCAAATAGAAAACGGAAGACATCTGAAGAAATTCACATTTATCACTGATTTCAACGTCAATATACTTATGCAGCTATTGCTGAGCTCAAATAGTACTATAGGACAAAACATTTCTTAAAACAACAATCTACTGTAGCACAACAAGTATTCACTGAAATTATATCCTCTAGTTATTCAAACAGCTCAGTTTCAAAAAACATGGAAATGAAACCTTCCTCCACTTACAAAATGTATCACAAAACCACTCCAACACTGTATTTGATCCTAAAATATTCATGAAATGATACATTAGTTAATATACAGAAAGGTAGAAAACTTTAGTGAAAAAAATTTAAAAAAAATTAAACTGCAAACTGCAAAAGTAAAGCTCATCTTGTAATTCTATTATTTACCTGGAAGATAAATTCCCTAAAAGAATGATGAATTCCCACAAGCCCCAGAAAAGGGAGAAGAGAGGGAGGAAAAATGATTAAAGGAGAGTTGCACTGTGACATTAAATACCTTTGTTTTTCTGTTCCATTAGAGGAACTGCTTTCAAAAGGTTTGGGGAATGCCAGATACTCAGTTTTCCCAGAAGCATTATGATCTAGAGGATGTTGCTGTTGCTGCTCACTGCTGTGTGGGGAAATATTGTGTGCAAAATCTCCAAAATCAGAAGGGAACACTGGATTATAGTTAATACCTACAAAGTAAACAAGAGAGTCAGAAGATACTACCTCATTTATCTGTGTGATAAAAGTCAAATTTGAGACATATAGTGTGGCAACATAAAATTATGAAGCAAAAATACAGTGGAGAAGTAAGCAAAAACTGTTTTCGCCCTGAAAGCACCGCAATAATCGGAATTTATCTTAAATGCAGGTTTCAAATATTACTGGATACTACACATGCCACTACGATCCCATCAGCAGAGATGAAGGTAATTCAAGAAAGCCCAATAAAGAGCTCCTTACAAGTGAAGGTAAAAATGACATCAGTTCCAAAAAAGGCAGAGTTGTCACATGAAGTCTTTATCAATACTTCAACTACCATCAAACTGAGAAGAAAATTCAAACAGTACAAGTATTCATAGAGCCAAAGGAGTCATAAATTCGTAATACTTATTTTAACTTTAGAATCTTTATAGTAGTGGCAAATTGAACATAACTATTCTTCTGTGCAGGTTCCGTACAATTTAAAACATATCCTTAAACAGAAAACAGATTTTAGAATCTGAAAGCTACAATCTAGGTCTATGCCTATTATCTGGTTTCCTGAAAAGGCTGACATACATTCTTAAGACAGCTTTAACAACTTCTAATGACACAGTAAATACCTACATTTTTTTTCCATTTCAAATTCAACAGTACAAGTAGCTTTGGTAATGAGATTAGGAACACTGTATCCAAGTCAACAGTCACTCTATACCTCTGATGGGAACAAGGATTAGTAACACACTCCATTTACAGGCATTTCAAACAAAAATGAGTGCTGGAAGTTCTAAGAAAAAGAGAAATAATTACCAAGTGCCACCTTAAAATTAGAGGTATTAGACTGGGTATTTTCGACTACAACCAACCTATTGAGAAAGTCTTGCTTTTCATACTGAAGTCAAAATATACAATTATTCAGCAATAAACATTAACAAACTTCTGCTAGGGTAATATGGACTCATTCAAGTACTGTTTAAGACCATTTCAACATAAAGGAAAAGTCAGTTTCAGCAAGCTCACATTAAGATTTCCATTAAATGAGGGAACGGAAATCTTGGAAATTCATATTACTTTTCACACCTGTAGTAATACTCACCTGGAGCAAAGGAAGAAAAATTAGTAAATCCTGGTACATTAAACAGGTTTACAGGTTGTTGAGGAAAGCTGAATGGACAGAAAACAGGAGATGGAGGTGGTGGTGCACTACTGCCACTCTCCTTTCTTGATGGCTTCTCTTGACACTGTTGTTCTTCTTGCTGGCGCATAAGATCGTTTAACATTTGTTTCAACCTTGAAAACAAGGAAAAATAAGCACTTGAGTGAAAAAAAAAGCTAAGGGAAAGCTGTAAATTTATACTCAGGTAATTTGAGATTCATATTATTTCACCTGCCTCATGTAATGTATGTAAAGAATTGCTCCATTTAGCTAGTAAAAAAAACTCAGGAAAAAAAACAACAACTTGTATTTAATCCTGAGTGACAGACAGGAACAGTTCTAAAATCAACCGCTCTGTACTAGCGGTCATGTTTACAGAAGTTAAACAACCTTGCAAGAACAACAACAAAAAAGACTAGATAGTAAAAACTAAGCAGGCTGAAAAGGAAACTTAAATAGAAACAACCGAAGATACAAAGTATTTGCAGAAGTGGCATTAAAAGTACTTTAAGATATTATGTAAGACGCCAGTAACTATATATCACTTACCAAATACAAAACAGAGATGAAGATCTTGAACTTTCATACAATGAATTAAAATTACTATTACATCTTTTTTCTAAAAAAGGTCACTGTTCAGAAGGTAAAAGTAGTACATCCAAATGGAGCGTAAGCATAAATTCTGACTGACAACACTAAAAAAGGACAAAAAGCTTTTCCACCATCCTTCCATAACCATTAGAATCCAGAGTCTTGCCAGGTAGTCTAGCAAAGACTACAGACATAATAGCCTATTCAAGGAAAGCAAGTCTAAACCAGAAAAGCCAAATAAAGCTATCACAACAGATTTTTGGAAGAGATGCCAACTTTTGGTTCTCTTCACCAAAGATTACTCAAAAAGAGCCATCTCAAAGGTGGCAGTGGTGAAAAAACCAACCAAAAATGCTGTATGTAATTTCAAAAGCTTGTAATCACCTCAGAAGTTCAATAGTTTCATATTTAGCCATTATTTATAATCTTTTATTCACATAACCATGTTCTCTGTTACTGAGGCATTTCAAATTCCACAAACACTAATACAGACAACAAACCTTTGAACATTATTCTGCTGCCAAGTCAGTTGAGTGTAACACTGGTTCAGCTGATGCATAATAAGATGTACTTGTGAAGATGCAACATTATTGGACATCATACTGTAAGGGCCTGTAAGCAAAGTCTGTAGAAGACAAGAGAGGGTCTGTGGAAAAAAAAAAAAACACGACAGTGACCGAATTACCAAAACCAGAAGTTATTGCTAGAAAGATTTAGAGAGAAAAAAAAAAAAGAAAAAGTAAGAGCAACAAAATAACTGTTCTTCACACCTACCTGCTGATCCTGCATCAAAGTTTGACAAATGCTGACACTAAATTCATGCTGTTTCTTCAACTGATTGATCTGCTCTTGCCATTGTTCCTTTTCTTCCACATATGAAAGTTCGGACATCCACCGAAGGTTTTCCTGACGTCGCATATTTATGTTTTGCTGTTGCCTGGCCTTAGACAATGGACGATAATTCCCATCTGCTGAAAGAGGACGGCAATTTTTCCACCTGGGTGGGAAAAAAAAGGAAGAATGAGGACAAAAGCTGATATTTCAAACAACTTCTTCTAATGATACTGCCATTATTCAAATTATGTTTCAGTTGTACTGCAACAACTCACTTCGCACAGGACATTTCAGCATGCCAGCTAATCACCCATACAATTTTCTCAATCCAACATTATCCTAAACAAATGGAAAATACCAGCCACCCAACTAAAAACCACTGTCAAAAAAGAATTGCTAATGATGTTTCTGGATCTTGTTTTTAGTATTGTCCATTTCTGATATATAATATGTACTCAGATGAAAATAGAAGCCACCAACATAATACACTAAGAATTAACGGGCCCAGCTCCTGACTAGAAGGCCACTAACTACTAAAATTATTTTGGTATCAAAAACAGAGGAAGTCAATTGAAGAGATATACATTACTTTTAACATGGCATTTTCATTTAGTCATACAAAGCTTGTAAAGGAAAGCAATCAGGTAAGCAAGAGTTAAAAATAATCATTTTAATGAAAAAATCTAATAAGAAATAGTTTTCACAGCTGCAAAAGCCAATGATTTGAAACCAAAATTTCAGAGTTAGTTTAATTCTCTGCATTACTTTTTTTGAAGAGACTGATCAATATTGCGGCAAAAATTTCATATAGGTTATCTTTTAAGCTGATATGGGAACATAAGGAGCTATTGCAAAACAACTGGAGAGCTCAATGGCAGACAGTTAATATGACTGAAAACAGAAGAAATAATCAAATTAGTTATACACACTGCAGCTACAGAGATTCAGACAAGAAAGCACCACTGCACACAGCTCCCCTAGGAGGCAGAAAGAAATTTCACTTTGCTATAAAAGGATGCCTTTTAGTTAATGCAATGCTTATTCCACCCCCTCCAAAAATACTCTGACAAGCATTAGAACAACAAGTAATGCCACTAACCTATCCTTGTTTTCTTTAACAAAATAAGCATTTTCTGGTACGTTGTTATTGGGATAAACAGAGAAACTGTCATTCAAACTTGACGCATCTTCTTCCTCTTCTTCTGCCTGAGCAACTCCATCAGAGAGATAACCGTCTTCATCTCCATCTTCTTCATCTAGTGCGCACTGGGTAGAACCTCCCCAGGTAGCCATTGTC